CCAAAGAGTGGTGTTGTCTTTTTCTGGATCTTTGATTATATGAAACGATGTATTCATCAGCCTGGTTTTCTTCATCCTCAAGAGAAACAATCCAAGACGGAAAGTAGAAAACAAAGAAAACCCAAACCCCCCCAAAAAAAAAAAAAAAACACGTGGAAGCATGTGATTGGTTTGTTATAAATCCCAATATCTTTTTTTTTCTTTTTTCTTTTTTTTTTGTTCAATTTATTACCATAATCTCCCTTCCAATTTTACGAATTATGTAAATGGGTAATTTAAATTTTAAATCTTTTTGTTACAATTTTAAAGAATTTCTTAATTTTTCAAACAACATCTGCACGGATGATAAATTCTTAAAAGCAAAAGAAAATTTAATGTTGCATAATTAAATTTTTTTATAAAAAAAAATAATATTATAAAATAAAAAACTAATAATTAATGCAAATCTACAAAATTACAATATAAAATCATTGATGATTTATTTGAACATGGTCTGTCATTTTATTTTCCCTGTTTGGACGGCAATTTTTACTTGGTCTCCTCCGTTTGGGTATATACAGACTAGCCTATATTTATTTATTTATTTATTGTGTCGGTCTATCCAATATTTATATACCCTAAAGTATAATGGGTCCTTTTTATTTTTTATGGGTAATATTGGGTACTTTTTGCCTTTGCATAATAAAGAGAATAACGAGTCCCATTCATGCCGAAGTCTTAAGAATAAATGCACAGCAGCTTCGGCTGTAAGTTCAAATTGAACTTACAGTAAATACTTCTCTCTTTGAATTTTTTAATTCGTTATAATTATTTAAATTTATATATTATAATTCATAAAAAATTAATTTATAAACAATATAATCACTGTTAATTTATAATATATATATTATAAAAAGTTACTAGTGGGATGTTGTCAATAAATTTTGAATTCATTACAGATTAGTAGTAGTTATAGGGCCAACATAAATATATAGGAGCCCACTTAGGTTCAAAAAAGGGCCACATAATTATCTGTAAAATGGGCCCCGGAGCTTATGTGGGCCGTGGAGATTGTTTATTGTCTTCAGTTTACTTTGGTCTGTGGCTTAAGATAAATATATATATATATTTTTTTTAAATAGAAAAAAATTAAATTAAATTTTTAATTCATTATATTCATTTTAAATAAATAATAATAATTTTCATATAATTTTTATTTCGTAAAATATATGTATACAAAAAAAGATATGTTCGTTAATATATATATATTGTAATATACTTCTTAAAAGGGAATTAATAATAATTTTAGGAAGAGATAATTACTAAGTTCATAATTAATTTAACCATAAAATTATTTTTTATATTTAAAGGTGTGTTTGAATGATTTTTAAAATGGTTCATTAATATATGGTATTGTATAATAAGAACAGAATATGTAATGTTAAAATTATACCATGTTGAGAAAGATTGTAGTAATAACAATTATTTTTATTTAAATTGATATAATGAAATAATTGTATATTTAATTAAATTATTTATTTTGTATTTATCTTATTGTATGTAATAATAATTGAAAAAATAAAAAATATATATAATTAAATATATTATATATATATGTATATATGTAATTAAATATACAAATATATGTATATATATATAATTAAATTAAAAATAAATTTGTAACGACCCCAGAATTTTAAAAAAAATAAATTATAAATTAAGTGCGGAAGCGAAATAATTAGTTAAGGTTTACATTCATTATACAATAAGTTAAAGTAATAAATAATACTAGTATGAATTACCTTTTTGAAGGAAATACAAAAAATTAAGAAAATAAACGGAAAATAAATAAAACTGGTATTCTACTCGCAACTCTCTTGTGGATCGGACTCTAGATCCGGATCCTCTTGATATGAAATTATTAATAAATGAATGAGTTACACTAGTTCAGTAAAAATATCACGCTACTCACCGATACATAAATGAATGTTGGATAGAAAAATCAAAACAACTAATAGAGCTATTAATTAAGCAAATTCATTTGTCATAAACAAAATCGTTTACCGTCTACTTACCGTAACGAGATTTACAAAAATAATATGTAAAGTCAATAACATAATACATATCGTTGTTTCATATGCAATTGATTAGAACAACAATTTTATCATTTATCAGCTTACTGGTATCCATGAAGTTTCATAGGGATGTTCCCACAATGCGTGAATCATTTTCTTTAACATTTTTAATTAACGGGCCGTCCTCATACCTCATCCGGTATGAGCACCAAACTACTAAACCTCAATACTCCGTCTGGTATGAGGGTGAAATAAGTCGTCCTCATATCTCGTTCGGTATGAGCGTTAAATTACCAAGTCTTGATACCCCGTCCAGTATGAGGCAACATTCACGGTAGGGTTCCCTATGTACCTGATCCGTCCACTATCTTTTAGGATATCAAGTAAGGCTATCGTTTCATCTATTCACTTAATCACACAATTTTCTATTTTTTTTTAATCTCCATTTTTTCAATTCAATCGTAAACACATAAAACAAATAATATATGCATTCAAAACTATAAAATCGATTAATTAAATACTATCATGCATTCAAACTATAAAATCAATCAACAGAATCAACAGTAGATAATTTTTGGTTATGACTCCATTAGTAACCTGTAATTAATTATGAATATTTTCTAAATTGCACAAAATACCGTATTATTGCTAATTTGACTTCAATTCTATAACAGATAATAGAGTAAGGAATTCTTACTCAATTCGATACTTGAAAAACTAAACTTGTTGACTGGCCTACTGGCGGTCCTCAGATTCTCTGAATTTTTATTTAGAGTTTAAAACGCGCTACGAGTACCTATAAATACTCTCAAAAAACCTAAAATTAGTGTCATCACCCCTTTTTGGCCAATTCTGAAATTCCAGCATGGCGCCGCCACTGGCTCACCTTTGCAGTTGGGTGTTTTACTTTGGTCAACCTATAGAGAAAGAAATGGTAATTATAATGGTGAAAGAATTACGTAGAACGGGAATCGAAAATGACATCATCAAAGGCAGTTTTTGTAATTTCTCACGACAGTGGTGCCGGGCTTTGCCCGCAGTTTTCGGTCAATCTGCCAGTCTTTTTGCTCCGATTTGGCCATGAAGGTGTTTAAAATTGAATTCCGAGCAAAATTTTTTTTAACCTCTTTTGGCGGTCGGAAGTGGCTCCAACACGACGACGGGTGGCGGTGGCTTCCTTCCCACCGGGGGGGGTCTAGCGGCTAGGGTTAAAGTTTGGTGTGAAGAGAGTTATTTATATTCGTCCTTTTTTAATCTGGATCGTCCATCGCATTTGATCTGGACCATCCGATTACGATTAAATAAGAGTGAATATGAACCGTTCATCGCGATCTGATCTGAACCGTCCGATCGTATCTGGGGATGAAATATATTCGGACCGTCCATGCGTGCGGGAGCGAATCTGGACTATCCTGTAATACCCCAAAATTCTAAAGGAAATAAATTATAAATTAAGTGCGGAAGCGAAATAATTAGTTAGGATTTACATTCCTTACACAATAACTTAAAGTACTAAATAGTGCTACAGGAATTACTCTTTTAAAGGAAATACAAAAAAATTAAAGAAATAAACAGAAAATGGATAAAACTGGTATCATACTCGCAACCCTCTTGTGGATCGGGTTCTGGATCCTATTCTTTTTTATCTGAAATGGTCAAATAAGAATGAACTACACTAGTTCAGTAAGAATATCACGCTACTTACCGATACAGAAATGAAGGTCGGTATAAAAATCAAACAACTAATTGAGCTTTTAATTAAGCAAATTCATTTATCACAAACCAAATCTTTTACCATCTACTTACCGTAGCGAGATTTTCAAAACAATTTATAGAGACAATAACATAACACATATTAAGATTTCATATGTATTGATTGTAATAATAATTTTATCCTTTATCAGCATATTGGTATCTATGGGGGTTCATAAGGATGTCCCCACAATGCATGAATCATTTCCTTTAACATTACCAATTAACGAGTCGTCCCCATATCATGTCTGGCATGAGTGTCAAACTACTAAATCTTAATACTCCGTCCAGTGTGAGGGCGAAATGGGTCGTCCTCATACCTCATCCGGTATGAGTGTCAAATTACCAAGCTTTGATGCCCCGTCCGATATGAGGCAACGTTTACAGTAGGGTTTCCTATGTACCCGGTTCGTCCACCATCTCCCATAATATTTAGTAAGGTTGTCATTTCATCCATTCACTTAATCACACAATTTTTCATTTTTCTTTAATCTCTATTTTTCCAATTTAACCGTAAACACATAAAATAAACAATACATACATTCAAAATTATAAAATCGATCAATCAGATACTATTATGCATTCAAACTGTAAAATCAATCAACAGAATCAACAGTGAATAATTTTCAGTTCTGCCTCCATTAGCAACTTGTAATTAATTATGGATATTTTTAAAATTACACAAACATCCTATTATTGTTAATTTAACTTCAATTTCATAATAGAGAATAGGGTGAGAGATTCTTACTCAATTCAATGCTTGAAAAGCTGAACTTGTTGATGGCGCCTACTGGTGGTTTCCAAGTTCCCTCAATTTTTCTTCGGAGATTAAAACGTGCTATAAATACCTACAAATATCCCAAAAAAATCCAAAAACAGTGTCAGGACCCCTTTTTGGCCAATTCTGAAATTCTGGCACGGTGGCTCCGTCGTGTTTCGGTGCAGTGCTGCCACCCATGGTAGCGATTTGCCTCGGGTCGGCTGTTTTTAGTCGTTTTTGACCGGTTTTGTATCAGTCCTTGTAAGAAAACACATTAAGGGGGCTCAGTTGGCCCAAAAAAATAAAAAATCGAAACTCACCGGCAGCAGGGTCCTCCGATACAGCAACTCCACCGGCTTACTTTTGTGGTTGGGTGTTTTGCTTCAGTCAACATGTAGATAAGGAAATACCGATTACAACGGTAGAAAAATTACGTAGAACGGGAATTGAGAAGGGCCTTATCGGAGAAAGTTTTTGTAATTTTTTCCAGCATCGCTGTTGGACTTTACCTGCAGTTTTCGGCCAATTCACTGGTCCTTTTACTCCGATTTTGGCCATAAGGATGTTTAACATTGAAGTTCAAGAAAATAAGAAAAATTTTCACCTCTTTTGGTGGTCGGAAGTGGCTTTGGCGTGGCAGCGGGTGGTGGCAGCTTCTTTCCCACCTATAACGGTCCCGGAAATTAAAAGAAAATGTATAAATTTATTCTAAGTGCAGAAGCGAAATAAAATAGATTATGATTAACATCCCTTACACAATAATCAAAACGAATTAAACGTATGAAATAATAAACTAACTAAAAGAAATATTATGAATAAATACTATAAGGAAAACTAATAAACTCTTAGGCTTCTACTCGCCGTCTTCCTGCAGAACGGGCTCGGGAACTAAGTCCTCTTGATCTGAAATAGTTAAGTAAGAAATGAGCTACACTAGCTCAGAAAAAATATCACACTATCTCACTGTCACATAAGTAAAGGTTGGTAGAAAACAAAAACGACCAATTGAGCATAATTTATAACAAACTCATTTATCAATAATAAAACCCTTTACTGTCCACTTACCTCGGTAAGATTCATGAAAATAATTTATAAAAACAATTACATCATAACATCATAAGATCACACACACTCTGTAACATAACACATATCATGCTTTTGTATTTCAATCATCAGATAATAAATTTTATCTTTTATCAGCCTACTAGTATCCATGGGGATCCATAAGGGGTCCCCGTTACACGTGAACCATTCACATTGATAACTTAATTCTAGGGTCATCCCCATACCCCGTCCGGTATGGGCGCCAAAACACATAAAGTCTCCATACCCCGTCCGATATGAGAGACCACGTTTCTGGTAGTGTTCCCTATGGACTCGGTCCGTCTACCATCTCTCACGATATCTGGTTAGGCTGTCGGCATTATCCATTTATCAATTCACATACTTTTTTCTATTTTTTCTTAATCTCAATTATCCAATCAAATATAAATACGTAAACTAGTAATGGACACCAAACAAGGCAACACAACATCGGGTTCACAATAATTCAAACCATAATAAATGAAACCGTAATTCATGCATATGAAATTATAGAATAAACACATCAAGCACCATACTGCATTCAAAACTGTAAAATAAATCAAACAACACCTGACTGAAAAATACATCAGATTCGGGTTCCATTAGCAATCTTAATTAATTATACATATCTATTAATTCATAAAATAACGTTTTATTATTTATTAAACTTTAATGCTGTGATACGAAATAGGGTGAGAGATTCTTACTTGTTTCGGAGTCTGAAATCGGGTTCTCACTGCGCCTACGGATAGTCCCTAGATTCCCTGAATTTTTTCTCTGGAAACTGAAACACACTTCCGGTACCTGTACATGTCCCCAAAAAACCCTAAATCAGACCCAAGGCCTTTTTGACCAATTTTGAAATTCCGGCACGGCGGCTCCGACATGCTCCGGCGACGGCGCCGTTGCCCACAGCGGCGATCCACCTCGAGTTGGTCGTTTCCAATCATTTTCGGCCGAATTCGGCCAAACTTGCATTGGTTCCTATGATAAAACACCCCTAGGGCCCTCGGTGGGCCAAAAAATTTCAGAAAACCGAGACTTACAGGCGGCGAAGCTCTCGGGTGCGGCGGCTCCTCCGACGCGAGTTGCGATTTGGTGTTTTACTCTAGTCAACCTGTGGAGAAAAGGACGGTGGTCACAGTGGTATAAAAATTACATCGAACGGGAACCGAAAGGGTCTCATCGGAGGTAAAAACTGAGAAAACCCGCAACGGCGCCGCTAGACTTCAGCGGTGTTTTCCAGTCAATTGGTAGGTGGTTTGGCTCCGATTTGACCACAGGGAGGTTCAGCATCGAAAAAGGAGCCAATGGGAGAAATTTTATCTCGTTTGGCGGTCGAAAAATCCTCCGGTGCGACGGCAGGTGGCAGCGGCCGGTTCCTCCGATGGCTGGGTTGTCTTCTCCAGCGAGGGTTCTGGCGGTTAGGGTTTGGGGTTGGGTGTGGATGCGATTATTTATAACATTTCCATTTTAATCTGAGCCGTCCATCGTGATTTAATCTGGGCCGTCCGATCGCGATTAAATTAGAAATAAATCTGGACCGTTCATCGCGATGCGATCTGGGTCATCCGTGCGTCATCAAATCTGGGCCGTTCCGCACGCGTGAGATCTGGGCCATCCACGTGCACTTTTGATCTGGGTCGTCCGTGTGCGCGGGAACAGATCTAGGCCGTCCTATCGCGCGCACGCAGATCGCCCCACGTGTCTCCGTCCTGTGTGGCTTCCTGCGTCAGCGTCCCTGCCACGCACCGTGTCCTGGTTGGCCGGGGCCGTTGACCGGGCTGCTGACATGGCTGCTGACATGACACTATTTTTCTAACTTGCGTTTTGACTCCCGGTTTTCGATTTTCTTTTCAAAAACACCCCCAGAATCCAAATTTTCATTCTTTTTTTCCAAAATCAATTTTAATTAAATCCCAAAAATAATTTTACCCCATTTTATTATTATTATTATTTTTATTTCTATTAAATTAAATTAAAAACTTATAAATTAATTTTTAAAATAAAACAAAATTAGACAAAATTATAATAAAATTAAAATAAAATAAAAGAAGAATTTTGGGTGTTACACCAGCGGCTGCATCTTCTTCTCCGGCGGGGGGGGTTGTTTCTGGTGGCTAAGGTTAAGGTTTGGTGTGAAGAGAGTTATTCATATCTGTCTCTAATTAATTTGAGCCGTCCATCGCATTTGATCTGTATCGTCTGATCGCGATTAAATAAGGAGTGAATTTGAACTATTCATCGCGATCTGATCTGAGTTATCTAATCATGTTTAAATAGGAAGTAGATCTGAACTGTTAATTGCATTTAATCTGACCACCCGATTGCGTTTGGGGGGAGAACGCATCCGGACCGTCCATGCGCACGGGAGTGAATCTGAGCAGTTTGATTGCGGGTACGCGGATCGCCCGCGTGACACCACGTCAACATCTGTTGCCATGCAGCGCGTTTTGGTTCGTCGGGGTTGCTGACTGGACATCTTACATGGCACAACTTTTCTAAATTGTATTTTGACCACCAGTTTTCGATTTTTCTTTTAAAAATATACTTAAAACCCAAATTTTCATAATTTTTTCCCAAAATTGTTTTCAATTTCATTCTCCATCAAATTTTCTTTATTTTTAAATTAAATTAAATTTAAAAAATTTAAAAATTATATTTATAAATTAATTTAAATTACATTAAAATTAATTTAGGTATTACACGTCCAATCGCCGCGTGGCACCACGTCAGCGTCCCTTTATCACGCGACATGTTCTGGTTTGTCGAGGTTGTTGACTGGACATCCTATGTGGTACAACTTTTTTAAATTACGTTTTAACCCTCAATTTCTGATTTTTCTTTCAAAAATATATCTGGAACTCAAATTTTCACCTATTTTGTCTAAAATTGTTTTCAATTCCATCATCTACCTATTTTTCTTCATTTTTACATTAAATCAAAATTAAAAAATTAAAAACTATATTTATAAATTAATTTAAATTACATTAAAATTAATTTAGATATTACAAAATTATTAAAATAAAATATAGGTAGAAGACTCTACAATAAATTATAAAATAGAATTTTTTTGATTAGTTTTAAAAATTTGGGAGATTTGTATATAATGCAATATAAATATAATATATAAAATTTTCAGTAAAATGTATAATCTATAACTAGTATATAACTTTATTTTTATAAATTACCCATTAATATATAATCATATTTTATGATTATATAATCATTAAATATAATTGATATAATTAATTAAGTATTAAGTGGACGCAAAAAAAATATTTAACTAAATTGTAGAAGACGATGAGAAAGATGACGTGATTACAGTCTTACTTTTTCCTCCTATTTTTTGTGTTAGACGAAATTACGAATAACTTCTGCCTCTCAAAATTTGAGGAATCTTTCTCTCTCTTCCTCAGCTTTCTCAAATCGGGAACTAGCCGCTCAAACTCGAAAACCCCCGAGCGCTGAAGGCCAGAAAATCTTAGGTCTTTACCTTTCTTCTCTTTCACTTTTTAACGTTCAACTCTGAATTCTCAATCTAACTCTTTTGGTTGGCGAGAGACTCCTGTTTTATGTCAATTTGAAACTGAACATTTTAGTTACTCATAGGTTGTTCGTTGCGTTGGGATGTTGAAACGTAATAAATTTCTTTTAGCAGCTGGCTTAAGTTGGCTATTTAGCTTGGTTTCATGAATTATGAGCTCGCGTATAATGATTTCTTTTCTTTTTTTATTTTTATTTTTGCTGTGATCTTCCTCAAATTTCCGAGCAACCAACCGAACAAGAATTTTTCTTTCTTTCTTTAGCTTTTATTTAGGAATTGGATTTGCATACTTTTGGCTAGGAAGTCTTGTTCATGCTGTTGCAAAGGCGGTATTAAGTCATTGGAAATTCAAACCAGTGTGCAATTGATGCATAAACACATTACTCTCTCGTGTCTTTTTAATAGTCTGGCGTTTGTGTGATTGATGTAGTTCTAGTGACATTTCTGTTGAGAAATTTCGTTAATACAGTGCGTGGGTTGAAATATAGATTAGAGTTCTAGCTTCCCAGATAAGAAGATATGCAATAAACCTGGAAGACCTTGTAAACAAGAGAGTCCTTGCAAAATAGGAGCTAGGAATCAATGAAGTTTCAAGGGCTAGGTGAGGACTATTTACTTTAAACAGCCCTGAAGACCAAGTCACTAAAGATTGGCTGCTAAAAGGAAAATGCAGAAATAGATATTTTAAGTCGAGTAATATTCTTGTGAAATGAATGTTGGTTTCTAAATATGGTTGTTTGTTGTAATAGGTGTTGTTGCTTGTTTGAAGGCACCTTAATAAGGAAGCTTGAAAGGATTAGTAAGCCTGGTAAAGTGTTACAAGAACGTATTGTCTAACAATGCTGCTGTTTGGTGTAGTAGTATTTTTTTTTTTTCCTTTATTTTCTGTTGCATCGCTTTGGTTTGATCAGGAGGAAGAAATATTTTGGGTAGAAAAGAGTGGGGTTTTGCTCGAGTTCAAATATATATTGCACAAACATTTTGGGGTTATGAGTTTCTTTCCTTGGTCATCGAGCAATGTCTTGTTTCAGATCTTGAGTGCATACACAAGTGGTCCCATAGTTGAATCCAGATGCTACCTGAGGGTTATAGTTTGGACGTACTATTTTTCTTATATCAGTTAGAAGTGTTGGAAGTATTGGACAAATGGATACTAGTTATGGAAGGTTCTTTTCCAGGGAATCAATTTGGGTTTTGTTTGAATTGTTAAGTGCAAAGGAAATGCTGCTGATTTGTTTGGGAACTTAAATGGTATTCAAGCGAAAATCATCAAATCACTCTGAAGCAGATTCCTACTATGGTTTCTCAAAGTAATTTTGCTCCCGTTTGAGAAAATATAAATTGAACTTAGTAGTCCAGAAAGATTTGAGATTAAGCCTGGGATCATATCTGGTGAAAATAGTTGGAACATATCTCTCTCTCGGTTTTTTTTAAATGTCTTTCAATAGAGAAATGTAGAAACAGGATTAAATTAGCTCTCCCCAACCAGTTTGGAGTCGAGGCTTAACGGAGTCAATTTGACTCATTGATTCATTTTCATGCAATTTTCTCATAGTAATGTGGTTTTCTATTTTTGGACTTAAAAGATCTTATGAAGTCATTTTGATACTCATTTTCTTCTTGGGAATTCTAGACATGTTAAAATGGTTTTATTGGGATTTTTTCTTCTTTCTAATCTTTAAATCTGAATATTGAATCCACAGGGCTAAATTGAGAAAGCGAGAGAGATATATATATATATATATATATAGAGAGAGAGAGAGAGAGAGAGAGAAAGAGAGAGAGGGTGGCGAAATGGTAATGGCTAGACAATCTGAGAAATTTTCTGCAGACTTTTTGATGGGAGGTGTGGCAGCAATAGTATCAAGGAGTGCAGCAGCACCAATTGAGAGAGTGAAGCTTCTGTTGCAAAATCAGGGAGAAATGATTAAGAGAGGACAACTCTCAAGACCTTACTTGGGTGTCGGTGATTGCTTTAGAAGGGTCTGCAAAGAGGATGGTATGTTGTCTTTCTGGAGAGGTAACCAGGCCAATGTCATACGGTATTTCCCTACTCAGGTACTTTTTATTCCTTCAAACACTCTTCTTGCTCTTGATACATATAAAATTTCCATGAACTTGTGGAGCTATGGGGTCAAGTGGCTTAGTTATAACCTAATTTATAATCTTCCCTTGCCAGATTGTCTGATAACCTCCTGTTTGTCTGTACATTATCTGGTTGCTACTGCCGCATTGCAAATATTTCATTGAAAAGAAAGGAATATCTCAGACTAGGTAAAGGCTCAAGCAACTGTGGTCTGTATTAAGAACCTTTCTTTCTGATGACTCAATAAAAGAAAGAAAAGCTACATTCCCTTTGATTGGCTAAGGTTTTGATAAGCATAAATTGTGTTACTCCAAGATCAAATATATGTTTTATCTGTAAAACATTGTGGAAGAAATTACTTTAGTGTGCTTAAAGTGAGAAATTTTCCTTCATTTTTGATATCATCCTCAAATGTTCCAGTGGAAAGCATTGGGTTCGCTATTCAACCTTAGTGTCATAGTGGTTGTGAATATGATTGCTGGTTGCTTTTGCTGGGGTTTATTTCATAGAATGATCTCCTCGGCTGGGCTGATACAATTGTAATGGGTTTTTTTTTCCTGTTATCATGAGTTTGGGTTATATTGAGTGTTTGGTGACAGAAAATTATTTCTTCCATCAATAAAGGAAAGAAAAGAAAGTTCCTTCTTTGTTAGCTGGCACAGGTAGGCCACTAAAGGGAAACATGTATGGGTTTGACTTAAAAGATTATGCTTGCCGATTTATTTGGTGTACCTATGAGATGTTGACAACTAATGACCTTAACCAGCTGGGTAAAACACATACAAGGAGGAAGTTTAGAAATTTTCTCATGCAGTTTGTGGAACAGAATGTGGTCTGAAATTTTGGAACATAAGTCTTGTAGATAAAATTAAGAGATCTTAATATCTTGTCTGCTTACTCCTCAGTGGGACCAAAGGTAGGAAAACCCAAGGCTTTTAGGTTTGAAACTGCCACAATGCACATAATGATTTGGATGCTGACTGATGTAGATGAGGTAGGCTTCATGGAGCTAAGCTATCTGTAACTTCTATTGTATAGCCAACTAGAAATCTGACCTTGTTCTGTAATTCATTCTGCGCAGGTTTTATTTTCTAATCTTTTTGTCTTCCGTTGCATTTGCACCTATGCAAGATCTTTCTAGCCTTGAACCTATTTTGTAATTTTGTCTGAGTTCTTGGTTTTTTTTTTATGGACTTCCATGGGGTATTTTGTTTGCTCAATGTCATTTGGTTTGGATGCATTCTAGATCAATCTCATAAAACTCTTTTTGGTTGATTTAAATACTGGAAGAGGCTAGTTTCTCCAATCTTAGATCTGTGACATTCTGGAGATATGAAACCCCTTTTTTTTGGAGTGGATGTGGACATGAGGTGTCAGTCAGAGTCCCTTGGGAACTTAGTTTCCCCTGAATTATATAGTGTCAGTTTTGGTCACTTGCTTTTTTTGTTCAATAATGGGCACTTGTATGTATTAATTCTGGAATTTGCAATTCATATTCTCGTCTTACATATTTTTTCTACTATAATTTTTTGATTTTCCTTAGGCTTTCAACTTTGCATTTAAAGGTTACTTCAAGAACCTTCTTGGACGTTCAAAAGAGAAAGATGGTTACATAAAGTGGTTTGCTGGTAATGTGGCTTCGGGAAGTGCGGCTGGAGCAACTACTTCACTGTTCCTGTATCATTTGGATTATGCCCGCACACGGTTGGGCACCGATGCAAGGGAGTGCCGTGTGAATGGTCAACGCCAGTTTAAAGGGCTGCTAGATGTATACAGTAAAACCTTGTCTACTGATGGCGCAGTTGGCCTTTATCGGGGATTTGGAGTTTCAATCATGGGAATCACTCTTTATCGAGGCCTGTACTTTGGTATATATGACAGCATGAAGCCCATTATTTTGGTGGGCTCCTTAGAGGTAATTGTTTCTATCTTCTATCTCTGTGAATCTATTGCAGCATTTCAGCCTGCAGCCTGTAGCCTTGGGACATGAACTATAGATGTTTATCCAGATATTTTATGTTCTAGATTTGGAACACCTGCCCCCTGACAGATGGTCTATACTTTACCAAAAGATATTTGAATCAGATACACTTGAAAATTACTTTACGTTTCAATCACTGGCATATACTCTTGGTCAATTTTGTGGAAGCATTTATGACTTATTACACTAGTTTGCAGGCGTACTGCAGACGACCTTAACGAGAGTACTTTAAAGTCTCTTTTCCTAATGATTGTCCAGCCTTGGTATTAAAACCTCTCTGTTAAACTGTTGTCACTTTTTGCCAGGGAAATTTCTTTGCTAGCTTTCTGTTGGGTTGGAGCATAACTACTGTCTCAGGACTTTGTGCTTACCCCTTTGATACTCTGCGGAGGAGAATGATGCTTACATCTGGACAACCTGAAAAGTATCGTAGTGCTAGACATGCATTTCTTGAGATCATCCGTGTTGAAGGTTTTTCAGCACTTTTCCGAGGAGTTACTGCAAATATGCTTCTTGGTGTTGCAGGAGCTGGAGTGCTTGCAGGGTATGATCAGCTGCACCGAATTGCATCCACACAAGGCTACATCTCTGAGCCCAATCGAGCAGTAGCTAATTGAGCATTGGATGACAAAAAATTTATGAAACATCATACTGTAGTTGTAGCATGTACATCAAATTTTAGTCTACCATTGTAAATTTCTGAAAGAAAATGTCAATTTGTTGCTTCCTTGTCCAAGATTTAACTGTCTGGAAGCAAAATAAGATTAAAGGCTTTGATGTGTATATATGTACAGATACAATTGTGAACTGTTCTTTTGTCCATTGGACTAGAAATTTTTATGCTTTTGTATTGATTTGATTTACTCCAGAACATAAAAAGTGACAGGACCAGAACTAAAAAGTGAACTAATGATTGAATTGATTTAAAAGTAAAAAATTATATTTTATGGAAAAGGGTATAATTGTAAGTTAATACCCAATTCAATCCATTAATAAAACTGAATTAACTCTCCCAACTCCTATATATATATATATGCAATATGTATAATCAGAATTAATGTTCAAGCAAGAAGCCAAAAGTTTTTGTGACGCTTAGTGGTGATCAAGTAGCCACCAAGCTTACTGTTCTTCCTCCTGACAGCAACGGCCATACAAGGTGAATTCTGAATGCAGTACTCCACAGCTCCACCACCTGATGATCTCCTCCTCCCAATTGACAGCCTCTTCATCAACCTCCACATCATTGACTTTTTCCTTTGACCAAGCACCATCAACGTCACCTCCTTTTCCTTTGCTTGCTCAACTATTGTGGGTCCCTTCTCTTTCCCTTCCACCATTGCTACTTCCACTCTCACCTGATCACCACCCCAAAAATAAATTTTTATTTTAATTTTTTTGTTTATACTACATGATGTAATTAATTAAAAAATAAAAAATTGGGTTGTATTTCACTAACCCCTGGTTTTTTCATTTGGCACATATTTTTCATGCCATGAAGAAGTTGAGTAGCCCTCAAGTTTTGCTTCCCATTTCTCTCTTTATTCCCTGCAGTTAGATTAATTTTAAATGTATAATTAGTTGTAAAATCATAATTAATTAAATTAGACAGCTACTAATTAAAAGACCAATTTACCCTTTTTGGAAATCTTGGCCACATGCAGAAGAATAATGGTGTCCTGTGTTTGAAGAGTGTGGGACAAAGCCCATTCAAGAGCTCCCTTAGCTTCAACGCTTGAATCAACCACAACCATCACCTTATTGCAACCTCCTTCAGCCTCATTATAAACCCCTCCAAATCTGCCGTCATCGTCGCTGCTCTCGCTCAAAAACTCGATCCTCTGATCTCTTTCGATGGAATCCGAGGCAGATTTGTGTCGAAGAGATGGTGATCGGACTCGAACTCGAGATAGAGACCGGGCCAGGCCCAGCTTAGGAGATGACTTGGACCTGTTGTGAACTGCTCGAGCCATTTTGGTAATGATGAATAATCACTTGAAATTTTAGCTAGGAGTTTTGGGTTTTATTATAAATTGGGTAGTGTTTAGCTGTGTTGGTGCATCAGTGTGTGTCTATATATATGTGTCTATGAGTGCATGTGTACATGAGAAAGTGGTGGACATTATTGATTGACTTATAATTAAAATAAAGCCAATCTGTTTTCTTTTTTTGGACCAGAATTTGTTTGGTTTGCATGTTTTTCTAGGCGGTGGGGTTTGGGAATTGGACGTGCTCACCATGATCATCATACCGTACGTATAGCTGTGTGTGTGTGTATCCTGGCCTCTAGTAATTAATTACAAAACGTAGTGATGACCCATCACTGATGGTCAGTGTCATATTCATATAATATGAATATAACCCTTCTTCCTCTAAGTCATCCTAAAATAATGGGTGATTAATGGTTGGTAGTCTGGATACATATAATATAATATATATAAATATATATGTTCGTGTACATGTATCCAATTAACTAACGCTTGAGTTACAAATTAACTATTGATTATAAATTAATTAGGGGGTTCAGTGTACATATCCTATTTTGAGTACCACATTAGTCAGAAGCTCTACATTAGAGAATCCAATGAGCCTTAAGATGGGTTCAGTACAACGCACGCCGTATCATATCACTTACTATTATATATATATATATATATATATATATACATACATGTACATGTATATATATGTATTCTCTTGAAAAAAGCTGAAAAGAATTTTCAAAAGAAAAAAGCAGAGAGAGAATATTTTCATAAAATGTCTTAAACATTCATCTTATTTCTCATTATTGTCTCTGTCAATATTTACCATAACTACATGCATTGAAATTTTCATTTTCATTTTTTCTCTTTCTTTTTCTTTTTCTGATACTAATGAAGAGTAAGTGCATGTGAAAAGTAACCCACAGATTATACAACACCATCCTTCAGTTGCTACGTATATATATATAGTATGTATCTCTATGCATTGAATGAAACTGCAATATATATATACATATGTATATATATCTGCACTGAGTCGTCACTGGTTTATTCATTAATCTGGCCAAGCATCCAAGGAGGCAGCAGTGTACTTCCTGTGGCTCTCTGTTGAGCTACATTACCTTCTTCGTCTTCTCCATTACTCATCGGCGGATAACTCCTGTATTATTGAATAATTTTTTTTTTTTAAAAAGGACGAAACTTTATTATATATTTTCACTATTCTCGAATTAAAATTCACATTGCAATGCCAAAATTTAATCTTTTTTGAAAAACAAATGAATTGTGTGATATAGAGAAATGGGAATTACCTAATATTAGAGGATGGATGTAAAGCAGGAGCATGGGGCTCCCATGTTATTTGTGCCTGTTGAGCCAATTCCTTTTCCCATTCCTTTACCTATTTTACCTCCAAATGGTTACCAACTTAACTCCATTCGTATGTATATACGTGTACATATACATGTATATTATATAGTAATCATAAGTGTAAAGTTAAAATTTAGTAAAGAAAGAAGAAAATATTGTAACCTTTTTAGCAAGCGCATTATTTTGCTCTTGCAATGCTTTGTCCTGTAAATGAAAGAGTTAGAGAAAGCTGTAACCCAGTTCTCAATATCACAAAACCTTTATTTATCAATATGTACACGTGAATACATATATGTATATATATATTGTATTTATGTATATGCATATGCCTGTCTGCTATATTTCAATAAATATTATATAACTAAATATATATCTGTCTGCTATGTGTTGTGGATTTGTTTTTGTAGTTTTTGATGGTGGTATTTTAATGCCATTTAATACAGTTTCTTAATCTTTAAAAAATAAATATTTAATGGAGAAAAATTGTATTGTAATTACCAGCTATATATATATACACATTAAGATTAACTAAAAATTAGAAATTCAATGTGAAATGAACCAAGATAAAACTTGATTTTAGGTTAAATATCTTATATAACACCAATCACCTTGAAGTACAGAAAGCTGATATATATGCAACAGAATGTAATATATAGACTCACCCTTTTCTGAAGCTCTGAAATGGACTCAAGCATGAGTTGGTTCTGCAAGTGAGGAAGAAGCTCAACTATAAATTTCACATTAATATTCAACTAATTACAAAGTTATTTTCTTAATTACCTTCCTTGACCTGACATGTTTAAGTGCAGAATCAAGCTGATGCTCCAAACTTTGAAGCTCTTTCAGACTCAAAGAATCAAGATCCTCTCCCAGAAAATGCCTGCACAAAATCAATTCACAATCGTATCAATTTCTTGCGTCTCTGTGTGTGTGTGTATATGTATATATGTATGATATATTTTTATTATGTGCTTGTTTTGATTTTATAATTGTTGGAAATAATAATTTGAAAATTTCAATATATTTAAAATTTTTTATTTTATTAGAGGGTTAAATTAAATGTAAATTATGTATATTATAATTAATATATATTTTTTGAGATTTTTTATCTGGTTCATGTACTATACTTAATTGTTGTTCATGAATTAAACTTAATTTTAAGTGATTCATGCACAAAATCAATTCACAATCATATCAATTCTTGTGTCTCAATGTGTATAATTATATGCATCATATATTTTTATTATGTTCTTGTTTTGGTTTTATAATTGTTGGAAATAATAATTTGAAAATTTTAATATATTTAAACGTCATATTTTATTTAAGAGTTAAGTTAAATATAAGTTATGAATATTATAATTGATATACATCTTTTGAGATTTTTTAGATGATTTATGTACTATTCTTAATTATTATTTATAAATAAAACCTAATTATATTTCATATATTTGAGATTTTAAAAATCGTGTTACTATTTATATCTATTCATGTACTTGAAGATTTATAAAAATAATTACAAAATTAAAATTTTAATATTAATATTATCTAGAGTTAACTTATATTTTATAATTATTATCAATAATAACTAGTCAAAATCTGTAATTCTCCGTAGAGTTTAGTATTATATGCTTAGTTTTTATCATTATATATAGGACTTTTAATGTTTTTGAAGAAATTCCTACGTATATATATATAAAAACTTAGAAAATCAAAAGTTAAAGAAACATATATATATATAAGTTGGAATTTAGGTAAAATAACATAATTATACACTACATAAAGTTTGAATTACAATAAAATTAAACAACTAACCTTTCATTTCTCTGCAACACTTCAATTCTAGCCTTCAGCTTTGCATACTGCAGATTCCAGTTTCCCTGCCGAAACAAACTCGAATATTGATACAAAGAGCACTTTGAGAGTAAAAAAAGGGCTAGGGAAACCTAGTTAGGATTATCAACCCATGTATTTGAACTTCATTGGTTTATATTACTATATATATATATATATGTGTGTGTGTATGTGTGTGTGTGTATGTGTGTATGTATACCCACATACGTTTGGTCCAATTTCATTTGTGACAGTCTGCCTCTGATCTGTGTATGAGTATCTCTCGTACCGTTCAAGTATTCTCTCCATGCTGTCATAGCAAACAAAAGGTTAAAAGTTAACCTATTTATATATATATATATATGTGTGTGTGTGTGTGTGTGTGTGTGTGTGAAAATATTCACTGTCATATAATAAGTACTGGGTACGATGTAATCATATTATTAGATTCATGTGAGAAAAAATCCAATGTATACTATGATATTTTTTCATAATGAATACGGATTTCCTCTTTTTAAATGAATCATATCCCCAAAAATTATACAATAATGTGTAAAGGGGAAGAGGAGTTTATAAGAGTATTAATTTTTTGAAAATGAACAAAAAAAAAAATGGTATAATACATCATTAATACTCATTTTTATTCTATTTAAAGTGACAATTTTATAGTAATAAAATTTTGATTTAGTGCAATCGAAGATAAACAATTTAGGTACGTGATATTTTTTTAATTTTAAAATTAATAACTCGAGTTTGATTTCTACCTTTATCTTACATTGAAAAAGATCAATAATTTCAAGCATCCTTGAATTCTATTAGTACAAAATTGTATTTGTTCGTAAGGAAGGAAGGAAGTAGATTAGCATATATGAAACTAGAGTAAACACAAACATGCAAACAAACACAACCAAAGATGCCAAACTTATCTCATAGTTTGTCAATGGTCAAAATGATTATCCTATATACTTTCATCTTGTTATCCAAAAAAGAAATGAGAGACAGCATATATATAAAAATATTAAATTTAAAAGATTCCGAACATTTAAGAAATGTATTGGACATGCGAATTCACATCTCTTACACCCAACACAGTCCTCTTTTCTTGGAGCGAAAGTAATTTGCTTAGGTTTACATCCTTCTCTAGGTATCATTTCTAATACATCTGTGGGGCATACTTGGACACATTGAGTACATGTTATATATGTATAGTAAATTTTTACTGAATGTGATATAGGATTTATAAATTTTTATATATCATAGATTTTCAATCTAGTAAACTTGTGAATGAATCATGTATCAAAACACTAAATTAATCAATGATTGCCAATTATAATAAGAAAGATACTAAATTTATTCTTAATTGTAATATTTTTAAAATAAAAAATAAAGAATCATATTAATAAAGTATCAAGAAGTATCAAACACATGTAAGATAAACTTATAAATTTTAATAAGAAAATAAATATTTACGAAATTTTTTAGATCCTCGTAAAAAAATGACTAGTTATTGAAACAAAGCACTCAGGGTCTAAATTACTGACCTCAGATGCTAACATAAGAAGTTATAATACCACCAAACATCATATTATTTCTTTTTATTGATTCATAAAAGAAGTTAGATGACTCATATTGGTATAGAATAAGAATGCTATTGATTCTAGGACTTTGTTGTTATGTATTACACGCGATAACCAATAAAAAGTGGAAGGTAAACTTTCTCTTAAACACGGACACCCCAAATACTCCAATGTCGTTCATTTTTTCTATGAACAATTATTGTTATCTTAATTAGACACTTTAATACAAAGCTATTTTATTATTAAAAATAGAATCTAAACGTTTAGCCTTCACCGGTAATATATCAAGAACCATGTTTGATAAAAGACACCTATTATTTATCAAATTAACTTAGATTGAGACGCATCTCAAATCATATTATAGTTTCACTTAAGCTGATAGGAATACACTCAATTAGTTATTTATACTCTAATACACATCTATTATGTATATATAAGTTCATTAGGCCTAAAGCATGAATCATATACATATTTATCAAACTTTTTGTGAAATTAATTTTCAATATAAATGAGGGCTATTAATATTCAAGAACTATGACATATATCTTTAATATCCTCTTAAATAATTAATTAAAATAATAATAATAATATCGATATATAACTAACATCACACAATATTTTTACACCCTCTCTTTTGATCTCCTCTAAACCTTTCTCCTTGAAACTTAGAACTCCACCTAACTTGAAGATCATATCTTCTTTCAAGTTTAAGAGCTAAGGTCTATGAAACAAATCAATAAATTCAATGAATTATCTCTTCAATTTTAACATTCTCTACTTGTATTTATGCGTAAGAATAGAGTGTATAGACATTCAAGAACCGTATAAGAAAGTATCCAATTAGCATTAGTGTGTCTACAAAGCATCAAAAAGTTTTTTCACATAATTAATTAATTACCTATTTAATTTCTAATATCCACTACTTATATTTATATATAAGGATAGAGTTTAGAGATACTCTAGAGTCGTACAAAAAAGCATTCAACTAGCATTAACGCGATTTGTAAAAGATATTTTAAAAAAATTTTAACATTATCAGTGAATTATCTCTTTAATTTTTTAATATCCTCTGCTTATATTTACACATAAGGATAGAGTTTCGAGATGCTCAAACTATATAAGAAAGAACTCAATTAGCATTAATGCGGGTTATGAAAGATATCAAGAAATTCATTTAACGTTATCACCGAATTGTCCGTTTAATTTCTAACATCCTCTACTTATTACATCTATACATAACGATATAGGGTTTAGAGACACAAAAGAGCCGTGCAAGAAAGCACTCAATAAGCATTACATTAAACTGTCTTGCCTATATATGTACACGTTAAACTGTCTTGCCTATATATATATATATATATATATATCCTTTTATGGCAAGATAATACAATTCACTTCCTGACTCAAGTTGACTATGATTGAACACCTACATATATGTTTACATACACATCTATTTATATACATGTATATATACTTATGCCATGATCTCTTGTCCGATATGGTAAATAACTAAACAGTGGTAAGAAACATGCGTAAACTATGCCTCATTTGGAAGGCTCCATGGAGTAGAAACAAGTCTAAAGTTGATAATTAATTACCATTAATTCCCTACAAAGTTCAGGCTGTATATACATTCATGTTAACGTACAAGCTAGTAGCTAAGTTATTTGTTTTCTAATTCACTCTTCTTATATATGTTGACGACCAAACGAGTGATTATATATAATTATAATGAAATCACTGTGTGAATAACCATGTTTAGTCTGCTTAAACATGAGCATTCAGAGAGCTGTACGTCGATGTAGAGGGGACCTCATATTAAGTGGGATGTACTATGTTGTACTGTCGTGTTTGTGAGCGTGCTTCTCATTTTAAGAGGAAGCTTTTTGAAAAAAATATTAAGTGTAAATTAATTAAATTTATTTATTTAGAAAAAAAAAAACAAGTTGAAGAAGGCTCTATCTATATACATACACATATATATGGGTTTGTGTGTGTCTCGAGAACTGGAGATTCAACAATGTCTAAGTATTAAAAACCCAACAGAAGAAAACCCATAGAGAATTATTAAAAAGAAAAGCCATTAGCAAAATAATAAAAGAATTTTTCAGAAGCAAACAATTACAGGCAACAACTTGACACAAAGCATAAGAATATAACTTGACTCGTTTCCTTTTCATCTTTAATCTATCAAGAAAATTAGAAACAGAAAATTACCCATATATATTAATACATATACATGTATATGTACGAATAGGCTGAAAGGGAAGAAGTTACATACCAGGAATCTGTAGAATATTCAAAGAGCTTCCCTTTGGTGGAGAAGACGATCAAAGCAACCTCAGCATCACAGAGAACAGAGATCTCATGTGCTTTCTTGAGCAAACCAGACCTTCTCTTAGAAAAAGTCACCTGTCTGTTGATCTTGTTCTCTATCCTCTTCAACTGAACTCTGCCTCTCCCCATCTTCACCTTCACGATCCGATTAAATCCACTTGACCAAAAAGTCAGTATACGAAGAAAGAAACTTAAAATGGAAATCTAGATGAAGAAGAAAACGAGTTAATTTCTCTGGGTATCTTTGTATGGAAAATATTGTATATGTATATATATATATACATACGGCGAAATGGAAAAATACCCTTTTGAATTTTCGGGTGTGTGACCAAGATTAATCCGGGGAAAGGGGCCAAAATGAGAATACGGATGTGGGTCTATATATATATAGACGGAGATTAGAGGAGAAAAAGCAAAAAGTGGGTTCGATTTGGGAAATCCAGCTGTTTCGGAAAAACCACGGTGGTTTTATCAAATTCGTTTTCGATTTCTTATTGGTTAATGTACCTGGAACAGTCGTTATTTTGTCTGCTTTCTCCTCATCCTTTTACGGGTTTCGTTTGTCCGTACAATTCCATTTTCGACCTTGCTGGAGCAGCGTACGGTCTCTGGGGGCTTTTCGTCTTTTTAATTCTTCCCTCACTTTCCTAATTTATATATTTATTTATTTTAATATTTTCTAGTAGAAAATAGCATCAGAGCTGTTGTTTTCACGTGCAATAGCTGAAAATTATTTGTCGGAAATTAAAACCACTTTTTTTAAATAAAATTAATAAATAAATTATAATTAATTATAAATAAATAAATTTAATAATTGACTTGTCAGTATCTTTTAAAAAATAATTAAAAAATAACATTATTTTTTGTCCACTCAAAAATAACACTATTTTGCACCTGCAACACGTACAAACTTTTAAAAGCGATTATAATACTTTATATTATTATTTTAAAATATGTTAAATAATTATATTTTATATTTTATTGTCTATTAACTTATAGGATATATTAGTTAATATATATAATTATAAATAATATTAATGATAGTACTATATGATCGTCATATAATTATAAAATTGTAAATGATTATATAACAACTTGTTACGTAAAATATTGCGTAGATTTTTTAGATTTTTTAATTATATATTATGTACTTTTTTTTTCACATAAAAATTTTAAAGACACTTATATTTTATTAAATATAGAATTTTTATAATTATAATTATATTTCTATTTAAAGTTATGTCAACATATATTATTATTGTATAAAATTAGAATTTTTCAAGTTTTAATTCAATCAAAATATAATTATATATTTTGAAATTAGTTTAAATATATATAAAATTCGTTTACAAAATCAAATTTATTTTAATAAAAAGGTAATGGAAGAAACTCTAATTTTTGGGTTTCTAATATTATTTAAAAAATTTAGATTTTACGTTTTTATTTTTTTATCATTTTATTTTATCAAATATTAAAACTAAAACGTGTATTCCAGCTGGAGGGCCCGGTAGGGCCCATAGAATTAAAACGCTCCTAAATTCGTTGACTTTTCCATTTGACCAGAACGGGTAACTGTAAACACTACGGTAAAACAAAAAAAACACCCGTAACGTTTTGTTAGTTCTCATTTTAGCCAGAACTTTCAAGAGGTCCATGTCACGATCACTATCAAGAAAGCTATCTTGACTATCTTCCACCTCCAAGCTTTCAGTTACGCAGCATCTGTGCTCTTTGGGTCCTCAAAAATTTTAACCTTCCTCACAAATATCTTCTGTAATCTGTTCAAGTTTTAGCCCGCAGTGACTCGGCCAGGCTTATTCAATCTCCATCACTATACAATTTTCGTTTCCAACCAATTACTGCCGACCACTGTACTCTTTTTTCTTTTTCTTTTCTTGTTAGTGGCCAAAGATTCCAGTAAATTTGCTTTAAAATCCCGGAAAACTTGTCTCCTTTTTTTGTTCGTATAGAATTGGAAATACCCAGAAGAATAGTAATTGGGAAAATAGAGATAAAGGGCTCGAATAAAGGTACGTTTCTTGAAACTGGTATTGTTTGTTTTCAAGGTTTTCCTTCACGTTTTCTTGGTGATTTGAGGTTAGTTATTTAATTTATGAGTAGTTGTTATCTGTTTTGAGTTAAAAGTCAGTGCAAGTGTCTGCTAAGAGGTCATTAGTACAATCTTGAATTGATTTTATATTGAATTATGCATCTGTTAGTAGTTCTTTATGATCTTTTGCTTTAAAAAATTTGCATGAAAGACCAAATTTTACTGGTTCATATCCTCTAAGAATCGAATAGTATGAGCCTAAGGCTCATGGGTGTTTTGGGGATGTCTCTTTGACTTCGCTAGAAAGAGACTGTTTGTGCTGTTTTGTATTGAGTTTTTTCTGCTTTGTTTATTTTTCTCCTTAGGTTATTTTTAGAGGCTTTTGAGGATCTCTTATCCTCATTAGTTGTCCTTTAGTCTTTTTTTCCTCTATCAATAATACTTCTTGTTTCATGTGAATAAAGAATTGAATAGCATGGAGTCTAATGTGTCGTGGGTTCTTTTGGAGAAGGGATTGGGATTAGGGTAGGATTGACAGATAGGGGAGACGGGCTAGAAGAGAGGAATCAGAGGGAGAGGGAAGAGTCTAATTCCTGGAAGAAGCTTATTCAGAATAGGTATTTTTATTCTCATCCTTCCATTACACTGCAGAATAGGGATTTATACTACTCCAATCGTGTCCTTAACTAACTTGTGGAGCTATTATTACAATGGTTATATATTTGAAATCCATACAACAAAAACTCCCCCTTAAGCTCCCTTGTCTCAAGGGAGAATGATGGAAACCGGAGCGGAAACTCGGTTATGTATTTCCATGTAGTTTGGGGTAGTACCAGTTCATTGAACGAGGCGTTCAATCAGTGGCTTGTTGTGCCATTTCACCAATCTGCGACTAAGGATGGCCTGTGGTTGTCTCTTTGGTATTTTGAGTTAACTGAGCCCAATAATCTCCATCCAAAATATTTCTTGCTGTTGGGGCGACAATTCTTTTCCATATTCGAGATTAGTAGCTTTCGTGCCAGCATTTCTTTTTCCAACTTCCATTGAAGATTATTTTCCATTTCACACATTGCCTTACTTCTTGTTTAACGATTTCGTCCATCTTCTTGGGTTCTTGGGCTCTGATGCCAATGTTGTAGATTCTTTTAAAGAAGGGATTTTGGGATCAGGGTAGGATTGACAGGGAGGAGATACGGCCTAGAAGAGAAGAATCAAAGGTAAAGGGAAGAGTCTAATTCCAGGAAGAAGATTATTCAGAATAGGCATTTTTATTCTCTTCCTTCAATTACACCATAGAATAGGTATTTATGCTTTTCTAATCGTGTACTTTAACTAACTTGTGGAGTTAGTTATTACAGCAGCTGTATATTTGAAAACATTATTTGCTCATTTTTATCAAATGAGCATACGTCATTTGTGTAAACATACTTCATTCTAGTCTTTTTGAAAACATTATTTGCTAATTTTTATCAAATGTTTCTGTTAGAGCAGAGCATTTACTTGAAAATTAGTAATTATTCAGTGGAAGTCATTGATTTTATAGCAGTCCCACCCTCCCCACCCCAACCCCCCCCCCCCCCCACCAAAAAAAAAAACAGCTCTTCCCACCCCACTTCGGGAATAATGCATTGATCACATTAACTTCTTGGTGAATCAAAATTCTTCACTCCCTATTAATTAGTAACCAAAACCTGAGATCCCTGTCTTTATCCTTTTCTTCTTTTTCTTCTGCCTTAGAAGATGCTTAACTGGCTACCATGTCTATTGATGTTCAGTCATGAACTTTTCTTAGTTGCATGGAAATAAAAAGTATTTGATTGTTTTGTTTCTCGTGGGCTGCAAACTTTTTTAGGATGGCTCTTTCTTATCTCTTTTTGTTTTCAGCATAGGTATACACCTACTTGCAAGTCTTTAATGGCACTAGATAATTCTGATGCTCTATCACCTCGAAGACGAACTGGTCTGTTGCGAGATCAGGTTCAACTGGTCAAGAAAAAGGACTCTGACCGCTATGAGATTGTTCGGATAGAAAATCCATTGTCATTTGAGAAAGGTTTCTTTGCTGTAATTCGTGCATGCCAATTGTTAGCTCAGAAGAACGATGGGCTGATTTTAGTTGGAGTAGCAGGTCCCTCTGGAGCTGGAAAAACAGTATTCACGGAAAAGGTGCTTCATTTTATGCCCAGTATTGCTATTATAACGATGGACAACTACAATGATTCTAGTCGTATTATTGATGGCAACTTTGATGGTAAATTTCATGCTTCTTTCATTACAAGATTTCATAGATAGATATTGTCATTCAGAAAAGAGCCATTAGATTTATTGGCACTCCAGAGCATGGAATAATTGGTTTATGGTATAACCTGATATTAGTTATTGAATGGGTTTATTTGGAAAATTTTACTGTTCTAAATATTCCTCTATTATGGTAAGACATTTTCACTTTCTTTTGGAGTCTTTAGTGGGGAAGAAAACCTCTAGAGGGAGAAAATCAGTAGAACTGTTAAGTTTTTAGTTTCAGGATTTGGACTTCGGGTTGAAATCGTTATAGTGATGAATGAATCACACTAAAGGTTTGTCCTTGTCGGTAAGACATTCCAACCAACATGATGATGTGGTTTTAAATTAACTGTTAGCATATCATGAAAATGACAGAAATATCTATGCACCAACAGGTGCGCATATTAGCGATAGATTATGAGTTTCAGATTATGAGAGTTAGTTATAGTTACAATGCAAAAGGTTGTACAGATTTTTATTTGGCACAAAATGGAATGGCATAAAAATTGGGTGCATAGCAGATTGGTTGCAAGACTTAACTCAATTCTCTTTGTGGTTTTGAAGGGCATGGAAATTGGATTCTATAGGAACATGCATAAAATTGATGACAAGATATATGGAACTTGGACAAAAATTCCATGTGGCAGATAGATGTGAACTTGAAGTAAAAGAACTGGTAGATGCCTGGAACGAATAAGAATGCCAGCCATGGAACTAAGTTAGGTTTTGGTAAAATAGGTGATTTTTTAATTTAGTTCAAAAAAACTTTAGTGTTGGAATGTGAAGAAACATGCTAAACTGTTTTTTTGGGATCAACTATTATGTCTCATTTACTAAATATGTCCTCTGATTGCATTTGTTGTATTCTTTCAAGTATTATGATTACATATTAAGGAAGAGATGCACAAAACAATTCTTGTATGTTGTCTTCTCTAAAAAAGAAAGAAAGAAAAACTCATTGCTTTCTTCTTTGAGACAGACCCAAAGTTGACAGATTATGACACACTTCTGGAAAATATACGAGATCTGAAAGCACGAAAACCTGCCCAGGTTCCTATGTACGACTTCAAGACTAGCTCGCGCATAGTTACAGGTTTCTCTCTCTCTCTCTCTCATACACGCA